AATTTGCGTGTGGTTTATTTAACATTTGGAGAGGCGTTGACAAATCTGGGAGTGTACCCATTACAGCCATTAAATGGCTGTAAAAATCAAACTGTAAATGCTGTAAATTATAATGTAATAGAAATATAATAAGCGAGAGTTCAACTCAACGCAAGGATAATATCGTAAAATCGGTTCGCTCGTAAAATTTGCCAGGAAGCGTCAAATGAAAAGCCCGGCACTAGTTTTCACACCAAGCAGCCAAAAGGCATGGCTTGCAGTGTGCCACGTGGTGGAGATCCTATGGGTTGGGAGCTGGCATCATTACACTTGAGTGTTTTACAACTTCCGTTAAGTTCGCCGGGGCTATAAAGCGTAATCTTCATGTTTTTATTACAAGGATGGTCGCCAGCGCGCCCTGTTTGCCAGGCAGCTGTGTTGTCAATGGAGCATCGAGGACATCAAATTGACAGCTCCTTGGAGTCGTAAAACTCTGCGGACTACTGTTGCGTACATATGTTGATGATGTTGGCACTGGCGCTGGCTCTAACTGGCATTGGGGTAATGATTGTCACCGGTTAAACAATTAAATTGAGGTTAGAATGAAACATAAAAAGCGCATAAAAGGGACATAAACCCGAGCAGACAAAGCGACGACCAGAGATGCGAGCCCCGACGATGTCGTCAACGCATCGTAAAAGCTTTAAGCCACAGTTTATTTTCATTTCGAAAGGATAACAACCAAAACATGACCTGTATGCGATCTGTGGTCTCGTAAAACTTGGTGATAAGACACTCGCCGTTGGTAATGATAATAAAATTATAATTTACCCTCTACATATGCTGCCCCGAAGTGTCTATGATGTCGGGATTCTCTGGGTCTAGTCTTGTTTCTGTTTATGGCCCTCCCTCTCCGAAAGCACTTCATTTTGGCATTTCGCTTTTAGGGCTCGATGCCATGTGAGAAATTGTAAATTGCGCTAATAAGCATTTAAAATTAACTAAATGCCCGACTCGTCGGGCCAAACTTGATGGCTTTTGCCCTGGTTCTGGTTCTGGTTCCGGTTCTGGGAATGTGCGGATTGCTGGTTCGCTGAGTTATCAAATGTGCAAAGTCGTTTTGCGGCTTTAAGTGGATAGGAGATGCGTTTTTCATGTTCTTTTCGGGCAGTAAACGCTCTAGACATGTTTTTAATAGCAAGTCCTCAAGCCAATCGAAATAAATTGGCCATTTGGCAATTGATAGTCTTAAGAGATTACAATTGCATTGCCAATTCAACTAACACGAGTATTAGTACTAGAATTGACAATGGAAACTATAGAAATGGTAAAATGCCCAGACCGGGATTGAGCCTGACTACGGGATACTAAGCCGCGGCACACTAGGGGAATCCTTTTGATCGACCCTTTGGAGAGTTTTTGAGTCATGTTACATTTGCAAAGCGTAGCTTAGCAAAGATTCTTTAAAAGATTTCGTAATGCACACGTCCTTGGGGCAAAGGCGCTCAAAGATATGGTGGGTGAAGTTTTGGGTTCAAACTAATTTGAAATTATCTTTACTAAAATTCTCATTGATAAAACCATATATAAATACACTATAAATGCGCATTTTAGCAGTTGAAAGCAATGAAAATTAGATTAGCATCTAAGAACTGAAGTTAAAAACTTGGCCAGGGCAATGCCCGGGAGCAAGCCATATATGTCAAAGGTATTTTTATAAGTAAAATTAAATTTAAACAATCAGATCAAATAATATTTCTTGATTAACAATTTTCCATCAAAAGGCATCAAATGTCTTCGTTTCTGTTAGGTTCGTGAAACAAATTTCTTAGTATATTGTTTGATTCTAGTTAACGATTGGCTGTTCTTTTTATAAGCAATGCGAATTTCGGCTTCCATACGTATAGCAATAGTTTTTTAATAATAATATTAATATTTAAATATGGGCTAGAATCAAATTTTTAGGCGAATATACATATATATGTTTTGAAGCATGTAGATTTGGGTAAAATTCTAATTTCTCGACTTGCAAAAATAGAAACGGCAATAAGCAGAAACACTCAGGCGCACTTAGCCACATACACACCCCCATAAAGAGACGATTACTTCCGCCATTTTCTATGATGAATTGCTACTTTTGCTTAACATACACAAGCCCACACACATAGACATTCATTCACATACCCATTAGGCAACAGAGAGGAGATGCGCAGACATCTATCCAGATCCCGGGACCCAGGGCAGTTAGCGACACAGACCCACATATACGTATATACAATGGCAGAATCCCTGTTTCTGTGGATACACATTTATCCAGTCGTCGACGGCGTTGACAGAGCCAACGGCAGCAGAAAAAGCGCAGGACGAAAAGAACGCCGCACTGGCAATGTAAAGCAGGTGAACTCGAGCCAAGCTGCGCAGTCTTGTTGGTGTTGTTAGTGTTGTTGCTGCTGTAGCTGGCAGCAATTGGTGGCAAAACACTGAAAGGACACAGGAAGTGCACTTTGCCAGCATACTCACAAGCACACACACACATATACACACACACATACACACAGTATATATATACAGATACAGGACACCCTTGCCGTCATTGGGGTGCTTTTGCCGTTTATTTATGCCTGGCAATCATAAAGCGCGCCCCAAACGCACGCACACACACAGAGACTGTGTGTTGCCCGTAAGAGAGAGTGCAGGTTATGGCTTTCTATAACCCAGGTTCTGTTGTCGTGCCGCCTCTTTCTGGCCAACGGCAACGGCTGTGTCTGCTGCTGATGTATTCCATACAAATTGCAAGTTTTAGTGCTTTTATTTTTCGGCACTCTCCGGCAAAAGAATCATCCATCAATGGTATTACGGCAAGGACAGAAGCCAGCAAGCAGACGCGAATGCTTTTTGAGTGCTGCTGACGTTTTTGTGTCGCAGACGCAGACGTACCCAATGCCCAACGGGGCCGGCAGCAGGACACAGAGGATAACAACCCCCTTTAGCTGAGGCATGCGGCGAAATTTGTAAATTTTTCGCTGCAAAACAAAAAGAAAAATTCTTTGCTGACATAAGAAGGGGGCAGACATTAATGCTTCTCTTTCTCACTCTCACTATCGCTCTCCCCTTTCTCTTTATCTCTCGCTCTCTTTCTCCAACCGGCTGATGTTGTCGCTCAGTGCTTGTGCTGCGTTTGTAGAATAATAGCATAAAATATTGTTGTCCTTGAACAATTTACTTTTATTTTATTTTTATTGCCTACATTGCGGAGTTGCCTCTGTCCCTTGCTGCATATGTGTGCTGTGTGTGCGTGTGAGTGTGTGTGTGCGTTTGTGTTATTGTGTTTGCTATGGTGTCTGCATTGTTGTTGTTGTCGTGCCGCGTTTTTGGCTTCATTAAATTTATGTTGCAACGAACCATGCCCCTTTTTATGCCGCCGCCCCCGCGGCAACGTTTCGGGCCTAGTTGCACGTGCCGCGTTGCCGTAAAACAGATCGTAAAAGTTTATTACTTGCGGCTTTTTGTTTGTATGTGTGTCGCGGATACTGTTGTTGTTGCTGTTGCTGTTGCTATTGTTGTTGTCGTTGTCGTTGTTGCTCCTGCCGCCGTTGTCGCTGTCAGCTGTCAAATTGAATTTGTTTATATTGCCAACAGCAGCAGCAGCGATGCCGTCGAGCCCGTTAAGGCCACAGCCGCCAGTCAGCTCCAACAGGTTTCATTTTCACTTGCCGGAAATCATTGCGTCATGCTGATATTTTGTATTTTAACGCCCAATGGCACCGCCCCATTTCCCGCTCGGGCTGTCATGCTCAGCTTTGTGTTTAGGCTGCAAAGTCGATTTTTGTTGGTTTAGGTCAGTTAGTTTTTGGCTTTGACAGCTCAAAGTCGAGGTCAACTTTTGTATGCCCATCATCAGTTGGCGTGTCTGTGGCTGCTGTTTGTATATATGTGTGTTAGTGTATGTCGCAGTGTGTGTGTGCTCATATTTATGTGCCCGCTGGACGAGACGCGTCCCAATGCCCAATGCGACGTGCCCTTGTCAGTGGCCAAACATAAAAAATCGATTTTATTATAGCCGTTTGTCTGCTATCGTATATAGATTTTCTGTCAGCTGCGATATTGCCTTTTGTCTGACTGGCAAAGTTCTGCCAGTGACAGGCTTAAATTCTGCCCGTTTCTCTTGTTTAGGTTACCATTTTTAAAGCCTGAAAGTGAAAAGTGAAACGGTGCGTATGCATAATATTGAGAGCCCTTATAATAAAAATAAATATAATGGAAATTATCCAATAATAAATTGCCATGCAAGTGAATAGATGCGAGCACACGGACAATATATATTAATGTATAAACAGCAAGTGTATATTAAGACAAAGGCGATATTTATCTGTGCGAAATTACAAAATAATTAGCCAAAAATACTACAACTCTTGAATGGGTATCTTTAATTTTACTACACTTGAATTTGATTGGACTGAATGGCACTAAAAAGGAGACTAGATCAAGACTAAAGAGAAGCGTAAATGTAGTTTGCGTAAAATTATGAAAACTAATCGATAAAATCAGACTCATCAACTAGATAACTAGAAAAACCTTGTACTAAGAAAAATGTTTCTCTAATTTGTTATACCAAACCCATTGGAAATGCTTAAAAAGGTGATAATTTTTGCAAAAAATGTGTGTTATAATATAGAAATATTCTTGATTAGATTAAGAAACTTAGTTCATCAAAACATTGAAATAGACATTCTTTTACTATATATATTATACGCACAACGAGCTTATAACGAACAAAGCAAAGAGTACCAATGTATCAACAAGGTTAATAGATCAGAGCTTTTAAAGCTTTATTCAATAAATTTGCCTGTTCCAAGAAAAGTTTCAAAACGACGAAAAATAATAATATATGAGAGTAAGAACAGCTAATCAAATCGCATCACGCTGGGAGAACGAAAAGCTTGCAAAAGCTTGCTCAGCACGCTATCTTAATAAGAGGCAGAGGGAAATAATTAATAAAACATATAGTCAAATACGTACGTTGAGAGCTTCAGTAGGCAAAATGTTGTCGAGACAGTTGTGTGGGCCCCAAAAGCTATGTGTTCGATTTCTTCAAACTGAGAGGGCGTTTGCTACAAAGGCGAGTACAAATATTAAGAAAATCCATCATTTTTACCCGAACTAGTATTTTATTCATAATTGTATTAGCAAGGCGCAGCAGCTGTTGTAGATGCCACGCCTTTGGACCAAGCAAAGCCCTTCTCGGAGCTACCCGGTCCCAATAAAATCAGCTTTTTTTGTTCTTTTCTGCCAGGCGGTAAGAGATCTAAAGCTTTTGCTTAGTATTCTTCTCTTTATTTCCCCTTTTTGCATATTTGCTCACTTGTTTTTTTTTTTTTGGAATTTTGTTTATAATTAATGACCAATCACAGGTCGCTATAGGAATGTTCCGGTGAATGATATGTTTTTGGATATGAAGAAACGGTATGGAAACATTTTTCGCATGCCAGGTCTCGCTGGCGCTGATCTTGTCGTTACTATGAATCCTGTTGATTATGAGACGGTCTTCCGCAACGAAGGACAGTTTCCCTATCGGCTTGGTTTCGAAACATTTGAGTATTTCAAGAAGGTCCACAGACGCGATTTATTTGAGGGTGTCGATGGTCTTACTTCAGGGTAAGTTCTACGGGAAAACTTCTTTGCTGTAATTGAGATATCTGTGGTTTGTTATACAGCAACGGACCTGCTTGGGGCAAGTTGAGAAAAGCTGTAAATCCGATTCTGTTGCAGCCGCGTAATGCCAAGTTGTATATAAACAATCTGCTGAGGGTCAATGATGAGTTTCTGGAACGGTAAATCGAGACTCCAAATGGTGTAAAACTGTTGACAGTTAGCCTGACTTTCAATTTGCAGCATACGAGCGATAAAAAATCCAGAAACTCAAGAGATGCCTGGTGACTTTGGCGAAGATATTCGCCGTTTAATCCTAGAGTCCATTGCTTCCGTGGCGCTTAACACGCGTCTCGGATTGTTGAGTGAGAACCGGGAGAGTGAGGAGGCGAAACAATTGATCATTGCATTGGAAAACATTCTTGATCTGAGCTTTCAGCTAAACTTGATGCCACCGATTTGGAAGTATCTACCAATGCCCAAGTTTAAGAAGCTCATAGGATCCCTCGATACTATTGTAGATATTTGTTATAAACACATACAAGAGGCGCTGCAGCGCATCGAACAGGATGCCAGGGCTGGACGTCTTACCACTGAGCCAGGTCAAGAAACAAGTATATTGGAGAAGCTGGCCCGTTTCGATCGCAAGGCAGCGGTGATTATTGCCATGGATCTGTTCTTTGCCGGCGTGGAACCTGTTAGTAATCGATATAAGACTCTTTGGTGTAGTAGCTAAGATTTTCAGTTTTACTTTTAGACCCTTGTCAGTTTGACCGGCATTCTCCTTTGCCTGGCTAAAAATCCTGCACAACAGGCACGTTTGCTGGACGAGATAAAGGGTGTGCTGCCCGATAAGAACTCATCATTGACCATGGACAATATGTCACATTTGCCCTATCTGCGTGCCTGTATCAAGGAGGGCATCCGTATGTATCCTATTGGCCCCGGTACCGTGCGCCGCATGCCCTGCGATGTGGTCTTGAGTGGCTATCGTGTCGTAGCCGGTACGGATGTAGCCAATGCTGCCAACTTCCAGATGGCCAATATGGAGCAGTTTGTACCGCGAGTCCGCGATTTCCTACCCGAGCGGTGGCTACGTGATGAGTCCCACTCGAACCTTGTGGGTGATACGGCCACACCCTTCATGTATCTACCCTTTGGCTTTGGACCGCGCGCCTGCGCTGGCAAGCGCATTGTCGACATGATTCTGGAGATTGCCGTTGCCAGGCTGGTGCGGAATTTCGAGATCGGCTTCGATTATCCGATTGAGAACGCATTCAAGACAGACTTCTTTGTGAAGCCAAACATACCCTTCAAGTTCAAGCTTGTGGAGCGTTCTGTGTAATTTCTATATATAAGTCTATGGTAATGAAACCTTCAAGATATAGCGGAGTAACGCAGCTCCTTCAAAACGAGTAAACGACTTTCGAGGGTTCTGGGCGGCCGCATGTGTTCTTGCTCAAGTATCCTCTTCAGCTAAGCATTACAGCAACAACAGCAGCTACTTGACTCAATTGAGATTGGTCGCTGTCCCGCAGCATACCCACAGCTCCTGTGGGTGTGTGAAGTGCACTTGTCTGTGCCCGCAAAGGAACAAATACTTGACTGCTTCGAATGTGTCTATGACGTAGCGAATCATGGGCTCTGCTGCTTGAGTAGCATCTGTAATAGCCATCTCAACTGTAGTTAAGAATCGAATACCTCAGTGAAGTGCGACTCTCTCCATTCTTTTGCGAATAGTATCAATGTGTTCAGGCACATTGTCATAAAAAAGTTATGTCTTTTGGAATGCTCAAAGTGAGATTCAATGGGGCAACTATCAAAGTGGGATTTATCTCTCCTGTTTAAAAATTGCTAACTACTAAAATGTATCAGTTTCTATCAGTTAATGTTGCTAGAAAATAAGTTCATATTCAGGGAAGGGTCAGTTAAATTCCAACTCAATTTCCCACTTTCATTTGATTTAGTTGTCAAAATTGTTAAAACTATTCCATAATATTTGTGCCAACTGTCTGATTAATCTGTTCTGATTTGTGTTTTATTATGGAGTTCAAGTCAATACGTAAATTATAAAGAAAGAAAAAGATAATTGTTCAAAAAAAGAAAATCCTTTAGGTTTTTATATACAAAAAGAGCAGTAACAAAATCAATGTAACAAACAACCGAATCGTTTGCTGATACGGAAAAATAACTTCGAAAAATTAAATCTTGAAGTTCTTTGACTCACATACCTATTAAAAATGGGTAAAGAGTATAATGTATTTATGCAAAATGTATTTAACAGGCAGAAGAAAGCATTTCCGAGCCCACAAGGAATGTAAATTCCTGATCACCATTGACAGCCGACGCGATCCACCCCCTGCCTGTCTGTCTACGTATTTATGTATGCAACAGTCTAATAACATATAAAAGCCAGAGGTTTAAAATGTGTCCACCTAGTGCCCAATATCGAATTCATGCTTTTTGAGCAAATCTCTTAAATTGTAGAGGCTATAGTTACTACACTTGACATGTAGTTTTATGAATAGTTGATATATATCAAAGTATCTTTCACTTTTTACCTTTCACCACATGACTATAAATCAACTAATTAAACCAATTATTACTCTCCACTTATTAAAGTCACAATTTTAATGCAATTGTCTATCGGTTAAGAACCACAAAATGATTGAAGAATATGTGTTTTGCCTGCATCCGTGTTTGCGCCATCAATTCCAAATTGCAAGACATTGCGGGTATGGCTATTGCAAGTAGTGTGGCCTGTTAAGAGCTCGAATCCTTTCTAATAAATTTTTTTTTAATTTATGGTTTTTAACGAAAGCAAATATGTTCGTAACTTCAGGGGCAGGGTATACCCTAGTCGAAATCTGCCGCCTCTTGTTGTTTTCTTATTTCATGCATCACATAATATACGGTATACTTTGGGGCTGCCTTTAAAATGGTTTGTGACTTAAATGCGAACGAGTAGATCAGCCTCATGATGGTTCAATTATAAACATCGGCTTTGACTTCCTGCATAAGTTGATTGTTGGGGAAATGGATTCTTCTTTTCCGTTCGGGCATATTCAATTCTCTGATCCGTCCAGAAGTACCAGAAATGATCGCCCCTTATTCCTACCTACCAGGACAAAAGATTTTCGTGTACTATGCAAAGATTACAACAGTTTGAATTACGTTTTTTTACCTTCGGGAACTCACTGACTTTTCCCAGCTATGATTAGGGGTATAGCTTGCCGGACAGGCTAAAAATTTTCGACCACCAGGTCGGTGATTTCCCATGACTATCTCTTCAGCCTAGATTACATTATTGAGATATTTATGCAGGTGCATAAGCCAATAACAAACCTTTAATATGTCAGGATGGATCAGACAGATCATACAGCTTCCATGATAATGATGGGTTATAAATTGTGATATTCTATTTCTTTTTAGCATTTTAGCATCGCTTTAAGGTTGACAACATATCTATAATGCCGAAGATAATATTTCAAAAATATATATGTTTCCTTTTCTAATCATTTGTATATAAAATATTGTTTTTTTTTTTGCGCCATTCCCGATAAAACGAGGGGGCTCATTCTTATATTTATGACATGAATAACACATATTATGTGGAGTAGAATTGCTCACTTATAATGCTTATTAAAATTATCAAAAGGATTCACAATAGTTGTTGTTGACCAACATTGCAGAGGTTCTGGTACTGAGTCACTTCTTAGACTAGTTAGGACAGTTTTGCCTAGACAGTTAAGTAAGTGATTTATATGAATAAATATTATTCCAAGCATAGTTATTTATGGAAAGGTACGATTATTAAAGAATATTATCTATTAACCCAATTTTTTAAAAAGCGCTCGCTAATTATGGCGTTAGGTTGAAATCAGGAAGGTTTTTTGTTTGGCTTGTGTTCTGCTTTTAAAAATTATATTTTGTCAATTTGGTAATATTTTGCTTGTATCAAATACATTTATTAAAAGAAAATACCATTTACTAAAGTATTTGATTCTTAAAGCTAGCTATGTCATTTTGCCATTTCTCATTGGACTTTGTAAAGAATTCATCGAGTTTTTGCGCTTCTTTTCACTTCGTTATCAGAACAACAAATAAATGCGCTGGCATAAATAATGCAAAAGTATTCATTTTGACATCAAATAGACACAGTTGCATTGCCCATCCATGTTTGCTGCTGGATCTTGCCACCTTTTCTGTTACTTGGGGACCTTGTTTTTGTTGCTGGCTGGCTGTACAAGTGCTTGGGCGGAACTTGGACGGTCCGGGTCTTATCTTTGTGTTCTCCGCCGTTGCCATCGCATCGCAGCTCTCGTATGTCCTGCATTTTATGCTACTTTCCGTTGGAGTCGTCGTCTTGTGCATTATTAAAACTATGTTCTCTGATGGTGCCAGTCTTGGTGAACCTCCTCCGAGGAGCCTCCATCGAGCGAAGCGGCAGCACTTGAAATGTCAATGCTGGCCATTGCAGTGCATAAAGTTTTATCATGTCCTGCACAAGTAAGCGGGCAAAGTGTGGGGGGGGGTTCTCTGTCACGATGCTTGTGGGGTCTGAACTTTGGTCAGGACGATGGCAGACAAACAAAATGAATGGAATTCATTATTGGACGGGTAGGCAGCTCTTAAAGCTACGGCTAAATTGAAAATGCATGTCAAATATCACACACAAATCACGGCCGTGCTCCAAAACAGCAGCGCAGCTTGCTTACTGCAAGCTTTGTTGCCTGCTTTTAGGCGGGGTGGCATGCATTTGCACTTTATGACATGCAGCCCTCATAAACTGAGCAATTAGACATGTCCGGCACATACAGGCATAGACATAGAGACAGGCATACATATTGGGCTGTGCAGCAAGATCTTGACAATTGGAATTTGGCTTTCGCAGTGAACTTTGAACGGTCATCAAGGCCCGTTGCTGCTGCTCGAGCCTGTGACATGACATGGCCGTCCATTGCCGAGCTGCCAATTTGCAGTGGGCAACAAGACGGGCGTGGCAAACGGACCACGTCTAATGATGGTACACATAACCTGCCTATCTGCCGCCTTCAGTCTGTGCACGCCCACGACCACGGCTAGCGCCTCGTTCTGGTAGTGGTACTGCTACTGGTTGTGCTCCTGGTTCCCATCCAAGTGTCATGTCACAACGCACTCGGGTTGCCTGTCAATTTCGCAGCTGGGCGTGTCTGTGCATGGGTACGAGCATGACTTGGGCCCCAGTGCCAGGCATTAGCATGTAAAAGGCAAAGTTTAGAGGAAAAAATATAACACAACATTGCAGCGCAGGACAATCAGTAGACAGACTACGACGACGACGACGACGACGACGATGACTACCCCCATCCAGTCACACCCAGCCTGTGACCCGCCCTGACAGGCGTCCATGATTAATGGTTGTCAATGGCATGCTGTTGTTGTTCTTGTTGTTGTTGCTGCTGCTGTATCCTGACTTGGCTGCATATAAAAAGTAATTTTGTTATTTTAAGAAAGCGCCCAGGACTAAGGCTCAATGCCGGCTTTCGGTTTTGCAGGAAATTGATTCTCCGTCGCATGCGGCGCACTTTTTTCCAGGCCGTTGCCGCAGGAATTTCCCAACTGGCTGCCAGCCCCGCAATTTCGCAACCTTTTGCACCCCGTCAAGAAACTGTGCTGGTTGCTTGAACTGCCTCACTGCGAGGAATTCCCCCAAGCATCCGCCAAGCGCGTAGACTGTGCTAATGGCATTGGCAATGGGGCAACAGGCGTAGAAAGCAACAAATTTAATTTATTATTTCGAAAAGTAAAGCATTTCTAATCGAATTGTATTCTAAATACGCCACGCATACGAAATTGAGAAATTGAAAAATTGTCCCCGGTTGTATTACCTCTCCACTTGTTGTTGTTGTAGAATATCGCTTGGCTGCGTATTAGTTGAAAAAATTTAAATTGTTTGTTTGCCTTGTCTATTTCATTACAGTTTGTTGGGGATATTGCGGTTATCAGATTCTTGACATTAATGATTTCTCTGTGTGAGTGCGAGTGTTCCGAGTGTTGTTGTTGAAAGTATTTATTATGCTGCGTCTCCACAAGTAGAGTCAGCGAGACGCTTTGTATTGGCTATGTATTGGCTTTTAAGGTAAAAGGATATTTTTGTATGTAAAACATGTTTTTATTCAACTTGAGGAACGAACTGTCGAAAATTAAGTTGTATGAAAAACTTTTTGTTTTTCAGAATATCTGAACCATACTCTTTCCCTGTATCGATCGTATAAAGAATATATTATAGATCAGCATCTGCGACTGTCGTCTGTCCGTCACTCTGTTCCTTTGCAAATTAGTCTCTCAATTTTAAAGCAATTATCTTTAACTTTTCTAGTCTGGCTAGCATACATATGGTAAGACGGAGGAACGATCTGTCTTAGCCAAAGTCGTTTACGAGCTTCACTATTGTCACATATCTGCAAAGCGTTTTCGTTTTTGATTTGAATTAAGACAAATGTATATTTTTTGTGATTATTGTGAAATTTAGACATTCAATTAAATGCATTAAATACGTGTCTTACGGCTAATGGTGCTTTCCACAAATAGTTCGGCTATGTATAAATAAGATCTCTCAGACTAAGGCAACTTCCCAGAAAATGCCGCGTATATTCAATTTTCTTCAGCTTAAGTAGGCAATGATGCCGACTTCAATTCACCACAAATTTAACAGATTTTTTATAGCTGGCGTTATCATTGTATTGTTACAATAGATATTCCTTCCATAGCTATATTGCACGGTTAATTGTATATTCTAAGCAAGTTCTAAGCCGGAACCGTAAGACTTGATAGCTCGATATTTGAAAAAATATGTTTTTCTTGATTTTCGTATTTTTTAAAATGCTTATTTTACAACCCATTTATGTTATTTTGTGCTCCAGTCGATTTTCGGTTTATTGTCGAGTGTATTAAAATGATAGAATATATTGCGCTAAAAGACAATAATAATTGTACAAGTATTATGATCCAATATTTTAAATTTTACTACGGTATTGATTCCTGTAGGCCTTGGCTGTTAACAAGCCCCGCTGTATTTATATTTTCTATAAAGCCTTTCACCTTGTGTTATATTATTTCTCACCCGCATAATATAATCTTAAGCGAGGGGGGTCGGGGGAGGCAATGGTAACTGTGCTCCAGTGTTTTTCCTGCTGCGTCGTATATGTATGTGTATGCGTGTACACATATATTTTTATTAATTTTCCAAATGAATTCCTGGCAATGGCGAAAGGACAGACACAGTGCCAGACACCAAACAACGCTGTCAGAAAATAACAAAAAAGGATACAAAAAATGGGGGCCATTTGGTGGAATCTCAGAACTGAAATCGTCCAAAAGCTGGAGATGCCCGCTTTTTGGTAACTGTTGGCGACATTATTACGTTACACACTTTACGCAATAAATGTGCTCTTACGTCATGGTGGCCCCCTCCGCGCAAACCGCTTCGTCTCCCAGTCATACTCCTGCTATTCAAAGTCGGGCAAAACAAAGCGGAATGTCTTGCATGCTGGGTATACGGCTGCCATCATTGTTATGTGAATGTGACGACTTTTTGACTTCCGTTCCGCTGATGTGTTTCCGTTTCCTGTTTTATGCAGAGCTCATGTGCTTTGTTGCCTTTTTTATATGTCACTGACGAAATACACATAACAAGGATAATATCAAAAGCAGCAGCTGTTGCAACAACAGCAGGAAGAAGCACACGGCCTGGCAATTTTACGCCAAGTTGATTTGCAGCCGACAACTCGGTTGCTCTTCCACGGAGCGAACTGTTTTCTGTGCATCCTCAATTTCCTTTTTATGTTATTTTAATTTTATGTTATTGTTATGACACAATGAAAATAAAATTGAATTGACACTGAAGCATCTCGACAATGCCTGTACGCCCCGATTCCGCCCAGCTTTGTGATAAGTAAGACTCTTAACGAAACTGGGTATGTGTGTGTGTGTGTGTGTGTGTGTGTGTGTGTGACAGTTGTCGGTGACGGTTTTATTGCCCGGTCACAGGATATTCAAATGGGCCATAAGTGCGGTTAAAGCGCTTCGTTCGCTTGGCCAAATCCCAATCGCAAGAACTTTCAATTTTCGATGCTGCCAGCTGACGGCGTGACCTATTCACAGCTCAGTGTAACCCTCGAGTCCTTGGCTGACAATCTTATTTGTCGCGCAGGTTCAAAACAATATCATAAAGTAATTTATATGCCAGCACTTGGACCAGAGGCATGGGCGTGGCTCTGATGATATATGGGGGAAATGGCTTTTTAATGACAACGACGACAACAGCAGCTTGTACAAATTACACACACACACACATACACAAACACACACTCGAGTATAATGTACGTGTGTTAAGCGTCGGTGCCGGGGGGAAAGTGAACGATTGTGATTGACCAGACCGAGCTGCACGCCCACCGTTAATTTTGATTGTCTTTGGGGCTGCTTGATAAATGGGTCACACGTACGAGTCTCTAATAGATGGCTGTTGTGACGGCGACTTCATCAAAAGCGGTCGCTTTAAGGCCAACGCATTGGCCGTCGGCCATTGACCATTTTGTTCATTGATGGGCATGAGATTTTTCTGCTTAAATATTCATTTAGCTTGAACATGAACCGCGTTCAAATCCGCTCTCTGGGACAACGCGACAAGGGCTATTCTGCCTCTGACTCTGAATCTGACTCTGGCTTTCGCTCCGACTCTGTGGTCGCGGCTGTTGTGTTGGCTTTGCGCAGATAAGAGAATTGTCCTGTCAACTGGAATGATATATGCGCCAGCGCATTCAAATTGGGCTAACAGACGAAGCCGCCAACCAACGAGCTGCCCATGGGCAGGGGCAACGGGGATGTGCGATGGCAATGGACGATTCTGGGGCTGCTCCAACCGGGCGGATGTGTTTTTCTCGCACATCAGCGTGCGTTTCCTATGGCGTAGCGCTGAAAGTCGACAGGCTGCCATCCCCACCTGCCCCTTGCACATTTCTTCCCATACATTCATATATGAAATGGATTTTTTGCGAGCGGGTTTGTCGAGTTGAAAAATTGGTGTGAAAATTCAAAAGGAGTTGCAAGTGTCTGCGTGGGGTGTTGCAAAATTACTTCGTGTGTAAAATTATGCGAATTGCGTACTGAGAAAAAAAAAAAAGTAAAAATATAAATAAAAAAGCAAGCAAAAAGGTGCGCGCATATTCATGCAGTTGGTAAAGGTGTCGGCGGCGTGGTAGGGCTGACGCTTCATGCAGGGTGAGTGGGGGAAGGTCTGCCGCTTGGCATCTCACTTTTATTGCATTTCAACACTTGCGTAAGCGCGCATGCAAAATTTCTCATAATAAATGTAATAAATAAAAATGTGAGTTGAAATGTGACAGTTTCTGAAGTGCGGGAACAAATAGAGCTCTGAAATGAAAGGATACCAAGGATTCGGATGGTGTGCGTGTATGTGAATGCGTGATGCGTGACAATAAGACAACTGTGCTGCTGTGGCAGCTTTATAAGTTATTAACGAGACTTAGATGAAAATGGAAAAGTGTTGCTAAAAAGAATTTTTGAATTCGGATTGCATCACTCAGCTTGCCTTATTGATTGATTGAGAATGTTGAAATTGTGTTAAAGTATGAATTGACAGCAAATAACAAATATTCAATAACCGTTGCGGCAAAATATTGCTGCGGTCAATTCAAGTAAGTGAGAGAGAATTGGATGCATATTTGAATTTGTCATTTGTGCATTCCCGGATATATTACAAACCTGAGACATTTGGAGCAGCTGTGCATTCCCGGATCTATTGCAGTACTGAGAGATTTGTAACAGCTGTGCACTAGAGTAAATCCTACGATTATTTAAATAGGGAATATTATTTTCAAGACTCTACTTAAAAATGACGGCAAATTAACACCATGATACTCGTTTAATCGTGGAATAGCATATTCTGTGAATTATACTTGCGCATATTCAATTTTCTTTTTAAAATAACTTTGAAACAACACGTGAAAATTTCCAGAACGCTCAGAACAATAGAATTTGGGCATACGAGTTTTTTTTTATTGTATTACTTGTCACTTTTTGACATTAATTAACATCAATTCTTAACATCAATTAACTACAGCAGTAACGTGCTAGCTTTTTAAAAGAATATCGAACTTATATTATTCGAACAGATCGATGTGTGTCAATTATTCGAGCAATTTCAGTCTCTCATACTACAAATTCATCATTATTGGACTATTTTTCAGTTGCATTCATTTTTTAACTCTCACGCTATTGCTTCTCCAAATTCCCTGACTATTAACTTACATGCTGTCAAATTTGTCAAATTACGTAGTAGAAAATAAAAAAAAAACAAAAACAAAAGCAATAACAAAAAAAAAAGAAAAGAAAAACGAACACGATTTCATGAGTTAACAAGGGGAAAAATAGACATTGACATCAAAATCGCTTAATGCAAAATCAGCACAAAATGTTCAACGCAACGAAAAGCAGCGTCATCAGTTACAAAACAGATACAACAACAACAACAACAACAATAATAATAACAACAACAACAAGACACAACACTAAAGGCAATGAAATAATTGACGCCAGTTTGGGGTAGGATCCTTCGGATTGGGATTGGCATAGGGATAGGAAGAATGTTTCGCAGCAGCATTCTTTGAGAATTGAGCTCATTATGGCATCACGACTGCCACACCACGCCCCCATTAGTGTAAAAAGCATGCCCACGCCCACTTCAATGTACGAACACGACTGAAAGTCAAAGTGTAGTCAGCGCGTGGTCAGACACGAGCGGAGCATGGGACGAAAATGGGCGGGATGCCATCGCCCGGCCACTGTTCCAAGGGATGTGACTTCGTAACGATTTCAAATTGCGTCAAAGATGAAAAACTACGAGAGTGTGTACATAGTGTGTTGGTTTTGTGATTTTTGTGTGCGACAGCGAAATGAGCGCCAAAAATGTTGCTTAGGCAGGAGATTGATGCCAGCATCCATTTGAGTGCTGCTTAGGTGCCACGGGCGGGCACATCATCAGGCGATGCCTCTTGGTTCGGCTTAGTGCCAGCCTCAGCTCTTCGATGTGCAAGTTGCCCGCTCTTTGGGGCGTTCAGGCTGAATAAATGGGTGTAAAGGGCAAACAAAATGATTAATTGCTCTGAGCTTTGATCGCCTGCATGCACACAACAACAGCAAGAGCGGCAGGCATAGTGAAAGGATATGCCCAACAAAGGGAGCAAAGGATGTGGATGTAAATGTAGATGTAGATGTTGTTGTAGCTGGCAGGGGGTTTGGCTCTGGGCTGCTGGCACCGGCGTTATAACAGAACGACTTTGCTTCCGTTTGAATAAACAAACACGGAAATGTAACCCTCACATTTGAAGCCAGCAGCAGCAACAGCAGGCAGCAGCAGGAGGCAGCAAGAGCTGACCAGGACAAGAACTATTGCTGACCAAATAGCCAGCGGCTGAGCAGTAGCTTCGGCACTGCAACTCCCACTCCTGGTGCGACTTACGCAAAGTATCACTCAACAACAGAGCGGCTAGCGTCGCGTTTTATCCTTTAAAATCCTCTAATGAGAAGGGTTGAAAATTTGCTGCGGTCGCTGCTGTCTCTGATAACGTGGCCGGCACTGGCCAAGCACTGGACGGATAAAAGGATAATGCGGGTCTGCTCAGTCTACTTCTCTCCAACTCTGTGCGTGTCTATGTGTGTGTGTGTGTGTGGGTGTAATGTAGCATGCCAGGAAGGCCATTCAAGCGACTGTTTGTTTTAAAATTACATAAAAATTGCTGTGTATTTAAAAAAAGGATTTCAAGGATCAGGCGGCTTGGCGGACAGTATGAAACGAACAGTAACTGCCATATTTTCAGCTGGCATCGTAAACTAGTTAGAGTCAGGTTCATGCTGCATCCTGAGCAGCCTGTTAAGCCGGACCAAAAGAAAACAAAAATTTAATGAAAAACGTTGCGCCCATAAACATTAAGAAATTTTAGCCAGCCTTCGGAGCCCCTTCCATCCGCCTGGCCCCATGCTTGCTACGACCCGGCGATAAGCAGACAAATCGCTAAGAAAAATACGCAATTTAAATGCATAACACACACAGGACATGCCTAATGCCAATAATAGAAAAGGAAATCCCGTCACAAATCCTCCGAAGGCAACGTTCCGAGTATGAGAAAAAAATTATGTAGCTATATGGAGCAGATACACACACACGCACACACTCGCTCACACTTGTATGTTGGCCAAAGTAAAAGACGTTAGAAAATATAGAAAGTAATCTTACAGAGACACTAGAGCACACGGCCTCGTCCTGGCAAACCACCTTTGGCGACATTTTGTTGCAGATTAAGTTCTATTCGCACATGGCTGACTTGAAATACGATACACTCACACAGACGCACACACACGCTTTGAATCATATCTGTATGTAACTCTCTGTGCGTGTGCGTTTGTGAGTCTCAAAGTAATTGGGATATCCTGCGAGCATATAAAGTGGATATAAAGTAGCAAAAATCGGCCTCAAGGCACAACGTCGCACCGGTTCTGGCATTTTTATGCGTTCAAATGTCGTCGTGCTTCATCCGTTGCCTCATCCCCTTCTTCAGACCGCCCCATCGTCATCTGGGCCAACCATGAAGCTGCCTGGCCGTGTTTTTCGGTTTGCTGAAATTATTACAATTTCATGGTTCTTTTTTATTAGTTGTCGCGTGGAGCTTATGATTTCTGATATATGACATGGGGCCAAGTTCAAGTTGCAGCTTTCGTTGAAATATATTAATAAATTTTCGCACATGTGTGTTTCTCCACGGCGTGTGTTTTAATATTGAAAACGTACAAATGTCTTAACTTTTCTATATACTGATATATATTTTGATTACGTTGACATTTTTGGTTATATTAGTTGATATAATAGCCTTACAGGCATTAGATGTCTGAATAATAAGTGGACCTAGTCTGATAAGATTTCTGAATAATATATTTATTCATACAAATTTAAAAAAAAAAAAAAAAC